CAGGTCCCAGAGCCGATGGTATTACTCACATGTGTTGGGAAGCATTGGGGTACAGTTTTGAAAACTGTGGGGCCGAGTCCTCGGGGCCGTGGGGCGCGGCGTGGCTGATCACCATCATAATGGGCCTATGGGGATACATTCTCTTAGACATTTTGAAGTAATTAATGCTCTCGTTAGTGATTAAGTCTGTGAAGTAGTCCTGAAACATACATTTGACACAAAACAGAAATTACAAAAGGTGACATTCATCAGATCACATTTGAATACTGCTTTCCTCAGAAGCAACTCACTGAATCACGAGGGAAGGTCTAAAGAGGGAAGGGGCACAGGGCTTCCCAAGGCAACACGTCAGTTGCCAGGGACTTTCTAGGGTCACCAGCGTGGTAACATGTACTCTGAGTAATGCACAACTTAGCAATTAGGCACGAAAAAAGTCAAGTCCTGTTTGCCCAAGATAATGATCAGATCTGGCAACCCAAATGCTAGAGCACATAAAGCACCGGATACATATTTCATTCTCAGATTTCATTGACGTAATCCATTGACAAAAATTTAATTACTTCAAGGGCAGGAAACACCAACACCCACTACACATTCACAGCTCCAGAACACACACACACACACACACACACACACACACGCACGCAAAAGGTCTTTTCTTTTAAATTAAAAATTCACCTGTAGGAATTATACAATAATTGCTAAAGGAAACCTTGGCCAAAATCTGGGTGCACAGGAAAAGCTGTAGCATTTTATTAATTAATGTACTTGAAACACTAAATATGGGAAGCAGTTGATTTCCTGCAGATTATCCTCTGTTAATTGCACAGCTAAAATGATACAGCTGCTGGGATTAGGGCCTGATGTTAATAAAATGACTTAACCCCCAGTCCCAGGGGCTGATGCAAGTCTAGAAGGGAACGAAAAGGAAAGGAAAGATGAAAACTTAAATTAAACCACCTGCCCCTCTAAGTGTGTGTCAGGGGCCTGGAGTTCCAGCAGAAACGTCAGAAAGCACGCGGGCAAGGTTCACAGTGGTAGGGGCGGCCAGGCCTGACGAATCACATGTAGATTTAAGGACCAGAACAGCTGCAAAAGCAGCGCCCAAGGGATGAAATCTGTGTCACATGCCATTGTTAGGACAAGCCCACAGGCTATCACCTTTTTCTATGGGAGTGTCTGTTTCATTCCTTGCCCCGCTAAAAAAAAAAAAAAAAAAAAAAAAGATATATATTCTTTTTGGACACAGTTGTCTTTGACACTTAATCAGCTGTGATAATGGGCAAGTTACGCTGATTTAGTCTTCGGAGGGAATCTTCTGTGTCCTT